CTGTGAAGCACTGTGTCCTTACCTGGTACAAGGGAAGAGCCCTCTCTGGTCCCCTCTCTGCTCACTTTAAACTATTAATTACACTATGAGACCTGCACCTCTCCTGAAAGCCACCCCCACCCCATCTCCTTGAACTTATGTCTCAACACATGAAGTGTAGGTAGACACAAATATCTGGGCCATTGTGAGCCTCTCTGAGTGTCAAATCCTATCTGAGCTGTGACAACCAAGACTGTTCCACTGTCTTTTGGGTCTTGGCGTCAGGTGGTATTATCCAGCCACCTTTGAGCTTTTCAGCAGTAAGTATGTAGTTTGCTGGAGCTCTCCTAGGCAAAGAAGTTGCTCACAAACTGTTTTCTTTGATGGGAAAGGCTGGGAGATGGAAAAAGAGAGGAAGAGTGTGTGAGGAAGAACGGGGAAGGAGGGAGGAGAGGTGCCAGAGATGAGAGGATGCTTTCCCCACAGGAGAGAGGTGACCTCTGTGTTGCTACAGGTTCTCCCTGGAGGCAGAAAAGCTGGTGTTGTGAATGGGGTCACAGAATTAGACAGAATGAGCACAAGACACAAGCCCCTGGAGCTCAACGTCACCTAAGCAGCTGTGCAGGGGGAGTTTTGGTCACACTATTTTGTGCTCCCAGCAAATCCCACTCCAGCACCTACCAGAGGCTATCTTTGGAGCCTTGAATGAAAGGTACATACACACACATTAGCTTATTTTTAATATGCCTTCACTGCCTCAAAGGTTGGGCACTCCTAAATCTCTCTCTGTTACCCTAGGCCCTATCAGGGAAGGGGCACATGTCCATTTACCTGAAATCTCACATGACTGGTTGCCTTTATTTACTGATGCTCTTGCATCCCATCCTTCTTCCCTGAGTTATGGCGAATCTCCTGTTCCTCTCTCCTTTTTTGCCCATGCAGTTCTATGTGTCACACCCTGGGCAGGCCATTGACTTTTGACATCTTTATTGATTAATCAAAAACCAACTGGGGGCAAAGACCGTTAGCATTTGGGCACCCAGGTTCCCAATTGAATCAGTGCTTTAGAACCAATCTCCAACACCTCACCTTTTCTGTCCAAAGTAAAAACAAAACAAAACAAAAAGCAAACAAAAAAACCCACTCTTCTCTCAGACATAAATTGAGGGCAATCATAACCATAACAATTATATAAATCACAGAGTATAATATATAATTAAATCCAGTCCATCGTGTTTGTCAATTAGATAAAGTATTCTACCATCATTCCTAATTCAAAGAGCTTATGTTTCTATACCTGAATTATGCTTTGATTCCAGCCTGGAACACCACTCCTTTCCTGTCAATACAAATACAGAGCCTCTCTCCCAAAATAGCATGTCCTTGGTCCAATAACTGGAAATCATTAAAGGTATAGCTTGACCTCTCTCCCAGAGGAATTTTAATATAAGCACCAAACATGTAACTACATGCATTTTGATAATTAAAACAACTCAAAAACAACAGTTAAAGCAATCTAAACAAATATTAACCATTGAGACAGTGCTTCTGCACCACTTCCTGCCTTTCAACCTATAATTTAAGATCAAAAGCCTCAATATCGTATACATCTATGTATGCTTAAATCCTCCCTACTATGTAGATTAATATCTCTGTGGGTACATATTGTAACATGCCTCTTTCTCTTCATATACCTTGAATTAACAAAAGTTTCTATTATCTGTCTGGAGCAAGTTTTTTCTACCTACCCCCTGCTCTTTGATCTATAATTTGAGATCAAAAGCCTCAATATATTTATTCAACTGTGTATTTAATTTTAATTAAATTCCCTTCTACTTACTGTATGAGCCTATTTCTAGGTCTAATTGTTGTCATGCCAGACTGAAAATCTCAGAAACCCCTTGTAGACATGTTCAGAGATCCTGAGAACTTGCCCTTGTAAGACTTTTAAATATCTTTAAAGTATTTGTTCATTCATTCTCCCTACCTTCTCCCTTCTGTTGTGTCTGCTGTGTCTACCATCTGCTTCTCTGACTCTCATTTTCTTCCTTGGAGCAGCTGACCTGGCTCTTTGCACAGCAGGGACTCCCAGCTTCTCAGCTTAAGTTCTTCATATCAGTTTCAAACTTCCGGGGAAGAAATCTACATGTGGCTAGGGTAAAATCTGTCTAATCCTTTCTATCCTTAAAAACAAATTGGATTTATGAAATCTCTATCCTTTATTTATCTGGTGGCTAGAGACAGGCAGCTTTTGTTGTTTGTTTCTTACTGTCTTCCTCACAGCAGGTAGCTCAGGGAAAACCCCTGCCAGAAGCTGTGTTCCTCTGTTCTAGTTTCAAGGCTTGTGCAGGAACTGAGTGACTGAAGACTCTGACTTGGCTAGCTAAGAAACCGAATCTCCCCTCCTCCTAAATTTATCTCATGGTGCATGTAGATTGTCTTTTTCATTCAGGAATCTCTAAATTATTTTAATAGTGTGTACTTGCCCACTATGTTGCATGCAATCTGTAGTGGGAGTTTTGGCTAAACCAATTTGTGCTACTGCCCAGAAGTTATCTTTGGATTTGTGAAACACACACACACACACACAAGCTTATTTTTAAAATGCCTTGGCTACTTCAAAGGCTGGACACTCTAAACCTTCCCCTGCTACCCCAGACCCAATTGGGGAAATGGCCACTGGCCACTTGCTGAAATCTCACGTGACTGGTTGGCTGTATTTCCTACTGCTCCGGCATCCTATCCTTCTACCCTGAGTCATGGTGAATCTCCCATTCCTCTCTAAATCATCCCTGGAACAACTCTAAGTGTCTCGTCCTGTGTGTAGCCATTGGCCACTGACATCTTTATTGATCGATTAAAAACCAATTGGCAACAAGGACCTTTAGCATTTGGGCACACAGATTCCTGGTTGAATGGAAGCATGAAAACCAGTCTCCAGCAGAGCTGTCACCCATGCTGGAGTGGGCCTTTGTGATATAGTTGTCTTTGAGTCACTTCTGCTTCTGTAAGGAACCCGCCCCATCCTTCGTAAGCAATCCCAATAAAACTCTGGTTCATCAGGATGGCCTTTCGTGATATTTGTACTTTGAGCTGTCATGGGATTCCTAAATAAAGTGTATTGCATCTCTCCAGGAAAAGATTTGTCACACAACATTATGTGATTTAAATATATATAAATGCCAGTTTATTGGGAAGCTGCTCTCATGCAGGCAAGTTCACTGGTTCCACGGAAGGAGGCCAGGGAAGTCGCCATGAAGAAGTACAGAGGGGAGGTGGAAGAGAAAGAGAAAGCATGCACATGTAGAGAGATGGAAACAGGGAATAGAAAATAGCAGGAAAAACCTAAATGTCTGGGTTATATAGAAAAGAGCCTCTAGGGGAAGGACAGCCCAGCTTTGTTCTGAGCTGGAAAGTTCAGGGTTGGGAACAGAGTATGCCAGATAGGGACTTTGGGATGCTAGGAAGCCAGATCTGCTTTGGTATGTAAGATATGCAACTCAGCACTTGTCCCAGGTTCTTAAGCTCAGCATCCCAGTCTTTTTTTTTTGTTTTGTTTTTGTTTTTTGTTTTTCGAGACAGGGTTTCTCTATGTAGCCCTGGCTGTCCTGGAACTCACTCTGTAGACCAGGCTGGCCTCGAACTCAGAAATACGCCTGTCTCTGCCTCCCAAGTGCTGGGATTAAAGGCGTGAGCCACCATTGCCCGGCAGTCTTTTATTGATAATAAATAAATAAAGGGCAACATAATTTCCTATGACTAAGTACTTCCTCCTGACATCGGGGTGTCATTATGGGGGAGGGAGACTGGAATGTTTGCCAAGTCCAGGTAGAGCTGGTTGTTTCATTGCTGTTCAGGTTGTGGGACAATCTGGGACTAAGAGTGTATAGGCCCAGCTCAAGCAATGTGTGAGGCTGACCAGAGCACCTATGGGTAACTGCTTTGGAGCTTTCCTGGATGCAAGTTCTGAAGGAACACCTAGACCCGATAGGATGCTGGAACACATACATACGCATATGTATAATATATATGCATATGCTTATGCACATGTACACATATACACACATATGTATAATATACATATGTATGTATATTATACATCTGAAACTTTTAGGCCTAGGACCTTGGCAGGTTGGGGTGGGGGTTCCAGAACCAAGGAAAGTGGACTAGATCCCACCCTCAGAAATAGGCAGGTGGGGAGGGAAACAGGCTGTTGATTGACAGTACTTATCTGGAGTCCATTTGACCTGTGGGAAGGGGATTCAAGTGGATTTCCTGAAGCTTATAAGAATCTTTTTAAATGTACAAAACACTTGCATTTACCAACCTCAAAATCTTCCATTTGAATCATTTTTTCATTCCTCCGAAATACCTTAAACCACTTTCTTGTCACCATCCAGGGTTGTCACACCCTCCAGCCTCTGTAACATGCATTTACCAAGCTCAATCACCTTCTGTGACCCTCAAGCACTTTCACAGAAGCTTGCCAATACAAGGCCGTCTGCAAACAACACCGAGCCCGAATGACTTGAGATGGTTTATTCAGAGAAGCTAGTGCTGGGGGAGGGTGAAGCCAAGGGTGAAGGGAAGTCCATCAATGAAGGTGAGAACAATGGTCCAGGGCTGGGGAGCTCCAAGGATGTCTCAGAACTGAGTTGGCGTTAGGGCAGGATCAGCAAGTGTATCCATGATGGGCTGCTGGGCCAACGAGAATAGAGAGGAGTGGGAGAAGCAGGCCAGTGGTCTTCCATCCTGAAGCATGGGTGCAGTTTTGGTGGACAGCCACAGGCATGAGAGTGACTCTGTTTCTTACACCCATGACTGGCAAATGTGTGTGTGTCCCTGGGTATGGAGATGAAGGGTATAGCCAGGCAGAAAGCAGAGTTCAGGGATTAATGAGGGATCACTACTTGAAACTATTTCTGCACAAGTGAGTGAGTAAAGATTAAAGCATATGGATCCTCCAACACCAGAACCAAGGAAGTTAGATTTTCCATAATCCTTCTGGGAGGCTACTTACCCTAGTCACTCTCAGCCACACATTGATCTGTAGAAAGCAAGAACAGGGCGAGGGTAAGAAGGAGCTCTTGGATAAGGACCCATCACATCTGCAGCTCAGATCCTCCCAAAGCCAAGACTTGAAGCTGGGATCTGATGTCCTTATGAGGGGGCAATGGGATTTAAGGGGAGGGAAGAAGACACATGAAACATAGAGTGACACACAGACACACAAGGTACCCGGAGGCATACAGGAACATGGAGAGAAAGAGGTTGGGTTCGGGGACCTCATGGTCAAAGCTTTCTCTCACCCAACTGCTCAGGTACAAAGATGTTTTCTTCTCTGAATCCCTTGCTCTTTACAAATTTCTTGAATTCTTCCATGGCCTCTGGGTTTTCCTTAGGATCTCTCCCTGTGGGGAGAGGGCTGGGTAAGCAGGGCAGCAGTAATGCAGAGCTCTGCTCTGCAGGGAACCAGTGACAGAGGTCAAGAGCACTGAGCAGCACTGGGGCTGCCAACCTGGAGCAGTGAGGACAAGGAGGAGGAGGACCCTGGCAGGAGACATGCTGCTCTGGGATGAGGACTCCTAGACACTCAGTGACCCCGACAACCCTTTGTGAACCTTAAAAGGTTTTCAGGGTCACTCCCAGACCTTTAAGAGATCTCGAACTCAAAAGCATGGAGCTATCTCCTGATCCTGGGAAATCCTATCTATACCTCAAGGTCTCTGTCAGGTTATTCATCTTCATATTGACTGGTAGATGCCTGAGATCTCTAGAAATGTCATTTGCCAGCTCCAGAAGTGGAAACCCCTGCTGAATGCTCAGACCTCCACAGGTCACATAAGCTGGGTCCCCTCCCAGCTGACCCACTTTTCACTTTGGATGTTACATACTGTCTGGGCATCACACTGAGGCTCTCCAGTCCTCAGTGGCCAGCATGGCTGCTGCTCTTTGATAGCTACTAGAAGCTGAAACTGAGAACAAGACACAGGGTCTCTGTTTCCTCACCCACGAGTTTCCCCTTCCGATGTGACTTCCCATGGTGCTGGCCTTCACAGTAGAAGATGTAGTGATCCTTTACAGGAATCTCTTGAATATAGAAGACCTTCTTGCCTTTGACTAAGGTGAACAGAGAAATAGCTCTTAGCATTTCATTTCTTTTCTTTTCTTTCTTTCTTTTCTTTTTTTTTTTTTTTTTTTTGGTTTTCGAGACAGGGTTTCTCTGTGTAGCCCTGGCTGTCCTGGAACTCACTCTGTAGACTAGGCTGGCCTCAAACTCAGAAATCCACCTGCCTCTGCCTCCCAAGTGCTGGGATTAAAGGCGTGCGCCACCACTGCCCAGCAGCATTTCATTTCTTGAAAAACATTTGGAGGTTTTAAAAAAAAAAGTATTCAGGAACAGTTGCAGTTGGCTACACAGGAGACCCACCCTGTCCAGCTCTAGTCTTTCCATGATCTCCATAATTAAACAGAAGCCATTTTCCAGGACATTGCCAGTTCCTGCTGAGGATTCCGAACAAGGTAAGGGCCGAGCTTGGCTCCAGACCTGACCCTTTCTTCCCTGCTTTCCTGTTCTTAGCAATGCTTACTTAAGGGTCAAGGGCTATACATGAGTTCCCAGGGGATGGGCATGGGAGAGCAGTTAGTATCTGGTGCAGACTAACTCGTGACTTTTAATATCTGATATATGCACTGTGACTGGGCAGCCATATTTGGAGCTAAAAAAGGCAGGCAGCCTCCATATAGAAACATGCCCCTGCAGGAGACCCTGGGCTTCAGGACACTCACAGGCAGTGTACTTGCGAGGCTCATCAGTTTTATGCATCACAATTTTTTTCATGTGACACTGATTCTTCCTCCTGTAAAACAGAAGCCATACTCAAGTTACCAGGCATATTAGTCTGACCAGGCAATGCCAGTGATTTATATCAAGATCATGCCCAAAATTTAGACTACGGCATGACAGCAAGCCCCTTCAAAGGCAGGGGCATTCAGTCACCTATACCAAAATCAGAATAGAAAAGACAAGAAAGACACCTTCAGAGGTTTGATGGGGACACTCACCAGAATGTTATCTGGACCTCTAAGTCCCCTCCTTCCAGGGCTGTCATGGTCATGGGGAACACTTTCATAGGTCTCTTACTGTCTGTGTGATTCCTGTCACGTACTGTGGCCTTTATGTACCATATCCCAGAGAACTGCAGAAGACAGAGCCCAGAATAATGTCCAGCCTGGTTCCTATTGTTCCCAGGCTCTAGTGCCTGAGCCTGCAGCCTGAACAGACATTCCAGAGCCTAGGCTGCAGCTCTGAAGAGGGTTGACACCACACATCCCCACACATGCCCACTATAGAGAGAGCCCAATCTTGGGAGATCTGGCCTAGTGAGGCCACAGGACCTCTGTTTTCTATGTGTATGCTCTTGGAGGTTGGGAAGTCAGCACTGAAGAAGTCCTCTGTCTTAAAAATCACACACTATGAAAACTTCGGGTATCCCATGCCACTCAAGCAAAGACCCATGGCTTGACACCACTCTCCTACTCCAGGCCAGTGCTCTTGGACAGGTTCTGCTAGCAAAAGAGTAGTGTCCCTGATCTGACCATGCTGGGATGCAGGGTTAGACTTGAGTCTTCAAGGACATCACTTGAACCAGTGGACCAACACCAACCAGGCCCAGGCCATCTCCTACCACCACCCATTGTCCCTCCCATCCTCACATCCTCCTGGTCATCTGATGGGGCTTCCTGAGCCTTCAGGACAGACACCAGCCCAAGCAGCAGGATGGTGAGGAGTAGGCTCTTCATCTCCAGTCACTGGGCTCTCACACAAGGCAGGTCACCTGGGCAGTGTGTGCTCTGGCTCCTCACCGGGTGCCCTTTATATCCCCATGGACAGGGACATGTGCCCACTTGGCACTAACCATGTCCCTCCTGTCCATCTCTTATGGCCAAACGCACATCCATCATGGAGCTGAAGGTTGTTGTTGTTGTTGGGATCTGATGACTATCGACCTAGTGTCACCTGCAGATAAAGAAAGACACACAATGCCCTGCAAGGTGTGTGCCACCCAAGTGCTGTGCTCACAAAGGACGCTGGGGGATGAGCAACTCAGGTGCAGTGAGGGAGGGAGAGCCAGGCTTCTCTTCACAACCTTGTCCTGCATCTGCCCATGGCTGCCCTGAGCTATGCTCCCTGAGACCTGGCCACTGACCTCCTGCTGCTGAGAACTAGGCTGAGCTTCACAATCAGAGACCATCTGCTGGGCCCCAGATGGCTTGGCCCCTGCCTGGGGACTCACCTCATTGTCCCTTCCCTACATGGATACACCACCTGGACTTTCCTGTAAGTGGGGACACAAATTCCTGACTGGAGTCAGTTTAAGCATCAGCAGGATAGACCCCATGGCACTAGGCAATACCATGACCCCTGACCCACCTCTTCCTGCCCTGAGGCCAGCTGTGCTCTCTAAGAGCACTTCTTACTCTCAGATATCTGGGTCCTTTTTCACTAAACGGCCAGTGTTCTTCTACTGAACCACCAGTTAGGGTGCAATTTCCTTACATCTCAACTGTAAGTTGGCTGCATGAAGAATTCCAGGCACATATTAGGGTCATGAGTATGTTCCCCTAAAGGAATCAGCGAAAGGGTTCACATCTGTGAACTCAAGGGGTTCATGTCCAACCAGGGGACTTGAGCTTCTGCTGCTCCCTCCTCTG